CTGTGTGTTCCCCGGGCCCCAACGAGCGGCAGGAGCCCCTGCTGGGTGTTGGGGGCTTCGCAAAGTGCAGCCCCAACGGGACGCAGGAAAGCCAAGACCTCTCAAGGCTGCTTCCCCGGGGCCAGAGAGGAGGGCTGGTCCTAGAGCCCGGTACTGTGGACAGGCCCTACCCAGATCCCCATGTGCTGGTGGCTCTCGGCAGCCCTGCCGCCCACCTGGCATCTGACCTGGTACTCCGGAGCAACGTCACCCCGCTTCATGGTGCCAGCCACAGTCGTGCCTCCCAGGGCCGTGCTGCAGACACCGCAGGTGCGCCCAGCGGCGCAGGGCTCCCCCACCCCGCAGCGGAGCGCCCCGGCTCTGAGGGCGGTGTGCTCACAGCCACGGGGCCATCCTGGACGACTGCTCGCCAGGGCGGGGAGGCCCACTCGATCCCTGCCCCGAGTCGCACCTGCGTGCCCGATGTTGGCCCTGGCAGGGGCCCCCAGGACCCAGCCTTGAGCCCCTTACGTCACCCTCAGCTCCTGGGGGCTGGATCAGCTAAGAACGAAAGTGACACACAGGAACTGCCACCTCCCAAAGTCCAGAGCCTCCCTCCAGGGGCTCCCTCAGGTCTAGCAGGGGGCCTCCGGGAAGGTGGGGACGTGGCCCTCAGCCCTGCCCAGGACTCCTCGGGAGGAGTGCAGGTGACAGCTGCCTTTGCAATGGCCAGACGTTGGCCGGGGCCTGAAGCAGATGGACCTCTGGGCTTGTGTGGCCTGGCTGAGGGGCCCGAGGGTCAAGGCCACGCCAGCTGGCTTCAGCCAGAGAGCCAGGGGAGCCCGGGCGGGCAGGCCGTGGTTGGCACTGACCCTGCAGCCACACCGGCCAGGCCTGCGAGGAGTGCAGACGTGCTGGAAGAGGAGCGGGGGGGGAGCGGGGCCACCTCGAGCCCCACCACCCCGGAGAGAGAGTCCTGGCTGCTGGCCTCGGCGGCCCACCCCACGGATGGGCCCGTGGGCTCACCCACAGAGATGGTGCCCGGCCCAGGCCCAGGGTCGTTGCTGCTCCCCCAGGAGGGCCCAGCACCCGCACCTGGGAGCCTGGGCCCCTGTGTCCCCCTGCCCACCACTGTAGTCACCCAAGGAGACCCTCCCACCGTGCCTTCTGAGGCCACAGGGGCTCCAGGCAAGCTGAGGAGGCCACTCCCCACATCTCTGTCCTACAGGGACTCCCCCAGCGCCCTGCACCTGCTGCCCTGTCCCTTCACCTGGGCACCTCCAGAGGGGGGCCTGGAAGCATTCCCATGTTTGACAGCAAATCCCTGTGACCCCGAGGAAGTTGTGGCTCACAATCTCGCCACGGGGGATGGCTGCCCCCTGGAAGATCCTCCCACATGCCAGCCTGGGTTCATCGAGGCCTTGAAGCCCACCTGTAGGGAGGCCAGCCCCAAAGAGGGCACATTAAGGACTCAGGAGGGCTCTAGAAAGGAGAGGCCAAGGAGGGGTCCTGCTGCTGCCGCTCCCACCCCAGTGGGGGGCAGGCCCTCGAGAGCAGCTGCCGGCCTGCCCACCCTCCCGGCCAACGAAGAGACTGAGACAGCCAAGGGGCCTCGGGGGCCACGCCCCCCTCGCACAGGGTCCCTGCCCCCCAGCCCTGATGGGGTTCCCAAGGACCCCTCAGACCTGCCAAGCAATACTGGCCACCTCGGCCCTAGGGACAGCCACAGTGTCACTGACCTCACCACGCCGGGGGCCACAGAGCCAGACTCCCACACCTGCCCAGAAGGTGAAGCAGGGCCCAGCAGTGAGGGCCGGGAGCACCCGGGGATGCCTGGTCTTGCAAAGGTGCCCCGGGTTGGCAGCAAAGGCCGGACTGTCACCTGCCCTTCAGCACGGCTCCGACTGGACCCTGACGTCAGCAGAGATGCCCTCCGCTGCATGCCCCGGAGGAACCCCCGCGGCCCCCGAGACCCCCAGCAGAGACCCCATGGCTTTACAAAGAAGCTCTTGTCCACAGAGAAGGGCCGAGCCCCAGACGGGCTGCCAGCAACCTGCGACGTCTGTGCGGCCTCCTTCCGCTCCCGGCCTGGCCTAAGCCGTCACAAAGCCAGGAAACACCGACTCCAGCCCCTCCCCGACCTCCCTGCTCCCCAGCCCTCAGAGCCCAAAGCCCAACTCTGCCAGCCCCCTGGGGTCGACCACCAGGTGCCCGGGAGGGAAAGACCAGCCCACTCGCCAATCCAGGACCCCAGCCATGCTGCCGAGGATGCCCCAGAGTCTGAGGCATGGGTGGAGGGCAGGCAGGGGCTCGGGGTCCCAGGAACACGAGGCTCCCCTCCCAGCCAGCAGCCAGACCCCCACGGCCGGACCAGGCGAGAGCTAGGCATGAACGCTGCAGCCTCAGTGCCCAGGCGGCCAGCACAGCCCCGAACTGAGCGTGCGGCGCAGAGAGAGGGGCCACAAAGGGGCAACCGGCCTGTGGACTGCTCCAGTGATGCGGAGGGGCCCAATGGGAAACGGGGGAGGCTGAGAGCGAGAAGGGCCCGGGCGCGGCCCGCTCCCCGTGTCTCTCCTGATGCGATTTCAGATAGGCGGGGCTCGGGTCCTTCAACTGCCATCGCCAATTACCCAGCCCCGCCGAGCCGCTGCCTGTCTCTGTCCCCAGAGGGAGAGCCTGGGGCACATGTGGGGCCCAGGGAAGTGGAGGGGGCAGCAGAGATGGGCCCAGGGGCCCCGTGTGCAGAGGAGACACAGGCACAGGAGGTCCCCGGAGATGGTAGGATCCATCCAGGGAGGATGGAAGGGGCTTCTCCCAGGGAGTGGCCAGCTGAGCAGAGGGGAGCCTCGGCAAGCGGCGTCCAGGGGCCAAGAGACAGCGCACCGGGCACCTACAAGCAGCTGTCTTGGGCGGCTGGGAGCATCACTACCGAGGACAGCACGGGGACCGAGAGCGAGCCAGGAAACAGCCTCGAGGAGGAGCGTGTGCCTCCCCTGGGTCCCATGGGGCCTCCCGAGAGTTCCGGCTCTGAAGCGGCCAGCACCTTCAGCAGCTGTGCCCAGGGCGTCCTGCACAGTCCTGAAGCCCTGGCCGGAGTCCAGGGGCCAGAAGGTGCTGCCCCCAGGCCTCCTGGTTCAGGCCTCGGAGACCCTCTGAGTCTGTTTGATGACGAGGTTTCTTTTTCCCAGCTCTTCCCCCTGGGGGGCCGCTTGACTCGAAAGAAGAACCCCCGTGTCTATGGGAAGCGTTACAGGAAGCCGAAGCGCCAGCCGCTGCCAGAGCCCTGCAGCGAGGCTGGGGACAGTGCCGTGCAGCCCTCTGCCTGCCTGCCCATGGACCTCAGCGACTCCGGCTCCCTCTGCCTTTCCCAGGAGGACCCATGGGACGATGAGGCCACGGGGCTGCCAGAGTCCTTTCTCCTAGATGGGCTTCTCAGCGGCAAGCTGCCAGGCATGACCCCCTGGGCCCCCTGCTCCAGCCCGTGGGTCCCAGAGCCTACCAAGGAGACCAGCCGAGCCGAGGGTGTGCTCTCCCACTATGCGGAGGCCGGGCCAGAGAGCATCCCTGAGCTGCATGTGGTCCCAGCAGCCTGGCGGGGCCTGGAGCTGCGGGCCCCCGCGGTTGAGGCGCCGCATTCTCTTGGAGATGTGAGCCCAGAGCCCCCTAACCTGGAGAGAGAGCACTATGACCGTGGGCTGCCCACGGGGGCCAGCCCGATGCCATTCCACACCCCGGACTTCGAGGTGCTCGGGCCCAAGGTGCCAGTGCAAGACCTGTGCCTCCTGGGAGCCTGTGAAGACCTGGCGGGTGCCCCCAGCACAAGCTGCTTTGACCTGAAGGCCATGGGGAGTCCACAGGGGCCGCAGGGCAGGACAGAGGAGGCATCCAGACCCAAGAGGGCCGAGGGCCGAGACCAGGCCACTAAAGGCCGGAAGGCCCCCTACAAGTGCAGGGTGTGCTTCCAGCGCTTCCACGGCCTGGCCGAGCGGGATGCCCACAGGCTGGCCCACAGCCCCTCGCCGCCGCCCACCTGCTACATGTGCGTGCAGCGTAGGTTCGGCTCCCGTGAGCTGCTGCGGGAGCACCTACAGGAGAAGCACGCACAGGGCAGGCCAGGGCTGTGGGCCTGTGGCATGTGCCTCAAGGAGGTGGCGGACGTCTGGATGTACAACGAGCACCTGCGGGAGCATGCCACCCGCTTTGCCCGCAGGGCGCCCACGTGGGGACCTCCCGGAGGTCTGGCCCCGCTGCCCACGCGGCTCCGCACCCCTGCCCGCCCCCTGAATGGCATCACAGGGCAGACGTCCAGACCCCACAGGTGCAAGCACCCCAAGGGCGGGGCCAGCGGGAGTCCCACAAAGCTGTCGCAGCCAGAGGGCAACGCAGAGGAAGAGACCCCAGGGGAGGGGATGAGACCCATGGTGCGCCCCGCCCCCCCGGGCCACGATGCTGCTGCCTGCGTGCCAGACGGCTCTCCAGCCGGCGTGCCCGCCAGCAGCCCCGCCGCTCTCTCAGGCTCCCCCAACCCGTCTCCCGACGCCTGGTGCGGCAGTGAGCCGCTCCTTCAAGCTGCCCAGGTGCACGAGGACTGCAAGGACCCGTCCCGAGACTGCCACCACTGCGGGAAACGGTTCCCCAAGCCCTTCAAGCTGCAGCGCCACCTGGCGGTGCACAGCCCCCAGCGCGTCTACCTGTGTCCCCGCTGCCCTCGGGTCTATCCCGAGCACCGGGAGCTGCGCGCGCACCTGGGCGGGGCGCACGGGGTGGTGGAGGGGCCGGAGCCGCAGCACACCCCGCTGTATGCCTGCGAGCTGTGTGCCAACGTCATGCATGTCATCCGGCGCTCCTTCGCCTGCAGCTCCTGCAACTACACCTTCGCCAAGAAGGAGCAGTTCGACCGGCACATGGACAAGCACCCGCGCTCGGGGCGGCAGCCCTTCACGTTCCGCGGCGTGAGGAGGCCAGGAGTCCCTGGACAGAGGGCCCCCACCCCTGAGGGCATACTGCCCAGCAAGCAGCCCAGACTGCTGGCGCCCGGCAGCACCCTCGAGCCCCAGGCCTGCGGGCCCCTGCAGGGCAGCAGCCCCACCCTGAGCGAGGGGGCGCCCCCAGCCCTGCCCCAACTCTGCGTGGATGTAATTCCCAGTGAGCCCGAGGGGCGGCCCGCAACCCAAGAGAGCCCGAGAGGCGGCCCGCAACCCACGGAACCGGCCCGCCTTGCAGTCAGGGGCCCAGGCCCACCGCCTGACCTGGGGGACCTCCCAGCCCAGTCTCTGTCCCCTTCCCCCACTGCCAAGGCTGATGGCAAAGGTGGCAGCAAAGTGGGTGGGGCAGCTCTGCAGCACACTGTCCCTCCCCAGGCCCTGCCGGGCACAGGGGCCCAGGACGTGGCAGACAGGAAGGCGCAGCATCTGGCCTCAAGGAAGCACAGGCCCCTGGTTGCTCACGGCCACTCCCCAGAGGGCATGCTGCTCCTCCAGGAAGAGAAGCAGGTGTCCTCAAGCCACGTGGTGCTTGGGGGGACCTGGGGTGGCCCCTCCCACAAGCACAGTGCCTCCACACCTGGGAACTGCTGGAGTTCATCAAAGGACAGGCCCACACCGGACACACTCCCAGAGCAGCTGAGGGTGGCTGTGGGGAGCCTAGCACCTGGCACGCCGCCCCCGCCCCGAGGTGCTGAGCACAGGACGAAGCCCCCCACCCCTAAGGGCAGGGCAGGCCCCAGCTCCCGGAGCACCAAGGCCGTGGGTGACGTGCGGCCCCAGCCTGCCAGCAGGCAGCTCCAGAGGGAGGCAGCCACCATGCCAGCCAAGGCCACTAGCCCCGGCAGGAGCCCCCCAGCAGGCAAGCCCCTGTCTCGGGCCCTCACCAAGACCTCCCGTGGGAGCCCAGGCCCCAGCCAGAGGGCAGAGGGCAGTGAGGAGAGGAGCAAGGGCCTGGCCCCAGGGCCTGCTGGGGGAGACAGCCCAGACAAGCGCCCCCGGCCCCCTCGGAAACAGGCAATGCCCAGCCGTGTGCTCCCTGCCAAGCCCAGGCCCGGCAGCCAACACAGCAGGACCAAGCTGCGGCCCTCGGAGCAGCGGAGGGGGGCACCTGGGCACACCCACGGGAAGGAGGGGCTGGGCGAGCCCTTCCCCAGGGTAAGGCCCCTGCTCAGGCCCCCCAGAAGAGGCAGGGCCAGTCAGGGGCCCCAGCCAGCCCACGCCCGAGACTGCCGGACGGCGGCATCCCAGAACGACCTCCTCAACCAGCTCTTCGGGCCCAGACTAACAGGCTTCCGGATCCCCTTAAAGAAAGATGCTTCTGAGTGACCCGTGGGAGTGGGCGCTGCAGCAAGGCCAGGCCCGCCCAGACAGCCAGGCTTCCTCGTCCCGAGACGGCTAGCGCAGTGGCCATGCCTCTGCCCTGATTGTGACGCCAGAGCAGGGGAAGGAGGGCAGCTGCAGCCCCTTCCCTCCAGCCCGCGTGCCTGCCAGCTCGGGGCCAGGACCACAGGACGGTCTCCAGCTCCCCGCCGCCCAGCCGGCAGTAAGTCAAGGCCCCGCCTGGCACTTTCCCCTCCATCGGCTGCTGCTGCAGGCCTTCCAGAGGTCAGGGGGCAGGAGGGCCCCCACAGACAGGAGCAGTTTCTGAGCCAGTGGGTCCCGAGAATACAAGGGGCCTTCCCCCTCCGACCACGGTTCACGCAGGCCACTTGGCCCCTGGCCCAGCTCCCACACAGGCGAGGGAAACTGCCCCTCCGAGCTCCCAGATGCCCCCCCCACCGCCTCTCCACGGCAGCTCTGGCTCCCAGCAGCAGCGAGTATACGTCTCTGGTGCTATGTCCGTGCTGAAATGTGAATAGCAGTTTCCTCGCTGTCTGTTTTTCGTAACTGGGCATCGGTGGGCAGTGGGTCGGCAAGGTCACGCCCGGGCACAGGACCCCGACAGTCAGGGATCCTCAGGCGTGGAGGCGGCTCATGCACTGCACACCCAGGGGTGGCGTGCGTGTCTCCCACGAGCCCTGTATGAGGAGGGGCAGGCGGCACCGCAACTGCTTGCTCCCTCGTGTTCTGGGACCCCACGCGCAGGTGCGGGTTTCTGCTGATTCAGAAGAGACCAGTCGGGCCACGCTGGCCTCGCCAGCGCCACAGGTCAGTGTGGGTGGGCAAAAGCAGGCCAAGGCTACACTGACCCTAGCCGACTCTCTTTTCAAATATACTCCCACTATTTTCGCAGGAAAGCCCCTGCCCTGTGTGTGGCGTCTGTCCTGCTGTCACCCCCTTCCCTGCCCCGAACCCAAGCCCTGAACCTGGGGCCACACACAGCCCCTCCAGTGGGGGAGGCAGCGAGGGCCTCCAGAAGGTAGCAAGCCCCCTTTCGGGCTGTCCCTGCTGAGCCCTCACCAACACTCCGGCCTCTCTGGGCAGCCCCTCCAGGGACCAGAGAGGACGCTGCCTGCCCCTCTCCATGGGACAATGAAGGGAGGAGTGAAGGGTGGGAGCCAGGCTGAGGGGAGCTTGGGGGTGGAGCTCTGAGCCCCCCCACCCGCCTCCCTGCAAAGCCTCCACCCTGTGGCACGCTCCTGAGGCCCCTCAGGTTTGCTGTGCCTTCTCTTGAGGTCATCACCTTCTGGAACATTCTGTGGAAGGGCTGCCCTTGGATGGCCTTGGCACTGGCCTGTCCTTCCCCACCCCCGCCCCTGTGCCCATGGGTGCCGAACCTCCTCTGCCAGCCCCTCCATTGCTGGGGGAGCCACACTTAAGAGAGGGTGCCTCAGTGGGGCTGGAGGGCGCTGGAGGCCCAGGCTCTGCCTCAGTGAGGGGCCTGCAGGGGCCTCTACCCGAGGAGGTACCCACAGGTAAGCCCCAGCAGACACCTCCTCCCTGGGGCTTGCCAGACTGGGCTCCAGGCTGGCCGGGAACAGTCCGCAAGTCCCTGGGCCAGCACATCCTCCTCCAAGCAGGGAGCCTGGGCCTGGGTGGAGAGGCCAGGGGTCAGACCCTGGGCCCTGTGGACTCCGTCCTGCCCCAGCTCCCTCAGCCCTGCAGAGAGCCCAGTGCCACCAGTGCCCCAATGAGCCGCATAGCCAGGAGGCACCGCCTGGCTTCCCTTTGTGGGAGACGTGAGCCACCAGGAAGTAATCAGGGCTCGGCTTTGGGGTGCTGCAGGGATGAGCCAGGAGCCCTCCTGCACTCAGACCCCTGGGGCCCCTCGTGGGGGGGAGGTCTCGCCGGCCTCAGTTCCGCCCTGCTGCCGCATGAGAGCTCCCGAAGGTGGAGTCATTCCCGGGGTCTCATCAGTGCCCCCTTCTAAGATGACAAGCCCCAGAGCCTCAGCCTGCCCGCGCCCACCCCTGCCCACCCCCAGCCTTGCCCTGCAGCCCAGGCCCCACGCAGCCCCTCTCCCCATCACCCTGCCCCTTCACACCGGCTCACACTCACAGGCTGTTGACTGGCGGCCCTGGCACCTGACAGATCACACAGGGCCCCAGCTCTGACGGCTGCCCGAGGGCCAGGTCGGTGCAGTGTGGCCACCTCCTCCCCGTCCACTCGACTTGAGTCTACAGCCTGCCCTTCAGCCAACACTGCCTGGGTGGGGCTTTGGGTCTGCCGTGGGGGTCTGGGGACAGGGTCTGCAGCAGGGCCTTGGAACCGGCCCAGGATGGCTGGGAGGGGCCTGGAGCCCACACCGGGGGTTCCACGGGGCTCAGGGTGGGTAGAGGAGTATACGTTCCAGGCAGGCCTGCCGGACTTTGGAGGTAGAGCCTGTGGGACCCTGCACCCTGGACACCCCTTCCAGCAATACTGCATCGCCTGGGAGGTGACAGAAACCCCACGCCTTGCACAGACCCCCTGGCCACTCTGTATTCCCACATGCCCTTGGGGAGCCATCGGAGGCCCCTCAGGGACTGGCATGTCCCAATCCTCCACACACCCTCCTCCTGCCTGGCTGGAGAACACAGCATGGATGGCCCTGCCTGGCCACCAGGTGGCAGCACTCGCCCGCCCAGAGGCCAGCCTGTGGGGCAGGGCAGCAGCAGGGCACAACACTTCCTGGCAGCCGGCAGACCCAGCCTGCACATGCAACGCCGCAGGCCCGCTTGCTGCACACACGTGCACACTCCCAACGCAGGCTCACACTCAGACCCACATGCACACAAACATGCACACGCCTGCTCAGCCCTTAGGGTGCACCAAGGCCCCGCCAGCCAGCGCACAAGACACCTGTAACACACCGGCTCCAGCTGGGTCTGGTGTCGGGCCTGGCCCTCAAGGGGCCGCCGGACAGGAGCTGCACAGAGCAGGAGGCAGCCCTGGCACGGGCCTGCAGGGGCTCCCTGCAGAGAGGAAGGCGGCCGTGTTCCAGCCCACAGGACTGTCCACCTAGACTCTCCCCTCCTGGACCCTGTCCCTGGGCAGGGCACTCCCCACCCCCCAGGGCTCAGAGGCCCAGACTGCAGGGCCCCTCCCGGTGGCCAGTGCCCCTCGAGGGCTGCCCAGGCAGGCAAGAGTGCAAGGCAGGGGACACCGTGAGTTACAGGACAGCCACATAAGTGGAGGTTTCGTTTGAGCACATCCATGACCAGGTCCCAAAGCTGGCCCCAAACAGGCCCGGGCAGATAGGACAGAGGAGGACAGCACCGGCCAGGTGGAGAAGGCGCGGGGCTGGGTGACTATGGCGGCCATGTGCTTCCTGGGCGTTGGCATGGGTGGGCACTGGAGGGGGACAGAGGCATGCTGCTGGAGCACAGGCCTTCACTGGCGGCCAGCAGCGAGGCCTGAGGGCCGTGAAGGAGGCCGAGGGTGCAGTCAGTACAGCTGTCCATGTGCCCTAGGTGGCCCTGGAGGTCCAACCGAGGCCACCGCTCGGGTCCCTGTTTCTCCCCTTGCCCATGGGTTGGAGCTGGGGGAGGGTTCCCCCGACAGCCACACGGGGGCCCCTCCCCTCCCAGCCTGCCCAGCCTGGACGCCCAAGGTCACTGCCCTTCCCCACAGTGATGTCTGCCCCTGACCAGCCTCTGGCCTTGGGGCTGCAGCTCGAGGCCGCCGCCTGCCATAGCCGGGGCCCCCCCCCTGCCATAGCCCGAGCAGGGAGGCAGGAGCCCGCCCTTGCCAAGGTTCGGGCATGACGGGAGCGAACAAGCGACCCCTCGGCCTGCCCTGCCTGAGGGACCCGCAGGGCCGCATCTGCCCAGCGAGGAGGGCGACAGCTGTGGGCCAAGGGGCAGCAAGACTCAGGTGTAGCACTGCCCACTCTGGGCCCTCCACGGCCCGGCACCTGGACACACGGTCACCGGAAACCTTCCAGCCTTCCCTCTGCAGTCCCCCTGAGGACACAGGTCTGAGCTGCGGGCTGCGGGCTGCAGTGCGCCCTAGCTTCAGGCTCCCCGTAGTCCCACAGGCTCCCGTGGGTGTGTGACAGACCCCATCTCCAGAGGAGAAAGCAGCTGATGGCCAGGCTGGCACACCACACACGGCCTGGGCTGCCACCGCCAGGTTCTGGGAGAAGGGCGCGGTGCCCTGGTGTACCCAGCCCTCCCTCCATCTGTCGTCTCCGGCTGTGGGGCAAACACCCTGATGCTGGTGTCAAACTGTCGCTGTCACTCTCTCTCACCAGGGCCTGGCAGAGGCAGGACGTGGGGACAGTGCCCTGCAGGGCCAGCTTTGCCACGCCAGGGATACAGCCGACAGCATATCGGGACAGTAAGCCTGGCCCTTGTGGCTCTTGCTGGCCTTTGCGAGATCCCGCGTGGATTCCAGGGGATTCTGTCCACTGAGTGCTTGCAGAGCCCGGGTTCAGGAGGGACTGGGGCTCGGGAGGAGGGACTGGGGCTTAGCTTCTTCATGGGAGAGGGCTAAGTTTGGGCATGTGTGTGGGAGCCCACACACCCATCTCTAACCATGCAAAACACACTGCCCCAGGCCTCCGAAAACCCCATCCCATTTCAGCCTGGGGCTCAAGCTGGGAGGCCAGGCAGGGTGGGAGGGAGCCCTCTGGGAGCCAGGACACAACTCCCACAGCACGGGCTGCATGTAGCCCCAGTCTGGAGTGGGGGCAGCATCGGGCAGCTGGTCAGGGGAGACAGGAGAAGCAAGCCCTGTGGGTCACATGGCCTGAGTGACCCCAATTCTCAGTGGCTAGCAGAGGCCCAGACACAATCTCCACTTTGTGCCTGGGACCTGCTTGCCTGGCCGGTGAATGGGCCTAGGAGCAGCGACATGGAAGGTGAGCCCCAGCCGTCCGAGGAGGCCAAGGAGGCCGAGGAGGCCAGTCCAAGTCTCCAGGGGGAGCCTATCGCCAGCTCCCGAGGGTGTGGCTCTGCTCAAGAAGCTGGTTGGCAGGGCCACCCAAGCCAGAGAAGGGGCTTGTCTGGCTTGCCCCAGGCCAGCTCTTCTTGCCCCTGAGAAAGACTTCTGGGGAACAGGCAGGGACAGAGGGGCCCCAGCTGGGATGGGGACTCCCTGATCCGGTTGCTGGGCCCTGAGGCAGCTGGTCGACAGGAGCCGGCAGCATCCAGGCCACCTGGGCCCGCCCCTCCCAGCCTAACTGTTTTGACAGCCCTGCTGCCTATGGCCTGCTGCAGAGGCCCGCACGTCTAAAGCAGCCACCCCCACTGGGACAGGGTCATTGAACCCTGCACAGAGTGGCGGGGACTCTGCCCAGGACAGCCCCTGGCACGGCCTCCCGGTGGCTGCGAGGACGGGGGCGCCGGCAGTGGCCAGGGGGGGGGGGAGGGGGGGCCGGGCGG